GATCCTTTCTGAAATCCATCCCGAGGCTTCAATAACCCATTTCATACCCCCAAAAAAAATTTTAATCGTGAAGAGAATGGACAAAAGCAAATGGAAAGCTAATTAATCACGTGTTCAATGGAATCAGTGAATTGGTGAAGTGAGAGGCATAAAACTGCGAAAATCTCGTGAAGAAAGGGGTTTAGAGAAAAATGGCAAAAGACTTTTTTTCCAGAGAATTAAATTCCGCGCAAAAAGTTTCCGAGGTGTTTCTCTCAAAACCCAGTAGTTCCCGAGATATTCGTGGAAATGTAAGAAGATTAATGTTGAGGTTTGTCTCCTTTCACCACTCCACTAGTTAATTAAAACTACTTAATTATTATATGTATTTGTGGATGTAGAAACAACACTGACAGTCACCATGTTAGCAGTCAACGATACCAGGTGAATGAATAACTCGAGATGTATTCTTCCACTAGCTTCTTTGCTCGTGTATGGATAAAGAACAGAAACTGATGATTTCGGGAATTTCATTCGTTGAAACTAATGGCAGAGGGCAATTCATCCCATTAATTACGAACGAATGGCAAAATTAAGTTATAAAATATTCTAATTTCGTTGTTATTCAAGTGTTAATGAAGATAACTGAGTTAGTTTTATTTATTTCCCTTTCATTTTCTGTTTCTCAGTATTAAATACCACGAGATGAAGTCTCAGATAATCCCAGCGAAAGCCAACAGTAATACGATTTTGTTGATATTAATTACATAAAAAATTATGTGAACGTACAATGAGAATTGTTTCTCCAACACTGCAAGAGTACGTTTCTAATTACTTGAGGAGTAATTCTATTTTTAGCTCTTCTGTTGAGTCAATGGATTTTCATGAAAACATTGAAACTCTTGCAATGTTCGTTGTACGTCTAGTATGCTATAAGCAACATCAAAAAGGTCGATGGATGATCAATCGACATTTTGCATCCTTTAATATGTTGAATAGTGTCTGGTCTAATTAAATCAATAATAGTAAATTTTTTCCCATCACAGTTGGAAGACTTGCATTCGTCGATTATTCACTTAATCAATTAATAGAGAAAATATTAATAATCCACCGTGGAATTTGCAGATAATAGTCAAAATTTTGTTACTCAACTGGTCATGAGAAAACACCCATTTCTACTTGAATTTGATACAAAAAAATGTATTTTTGATTTGTAAAAAAATAGTGCAAAACGCATTTTATGTTTAGTATTTGTACGAAATCGGACAAGCCCAGTGATCACAACGAGACGAGACTCGATGTTACATTAGGTTTAACAACAATAATAACAATAATAATGCATTATCCGCCAAAACACCACTCCATGCAAAAATCTGATAATTCATCAAGTCTTACCTCGAAGCTGAAGAAATAACATTGCATTATTGTTAATTTTTCCATTGGCAAGAGCTTGTAAAATTGTTCACCTTGGGGTCAACTAATGTCAAATAATAGAAAACATTTACTAAAAAATTCTATTGAAATTATACATTTTTTGTAAGAATTCGTGCCCATGAATTTAATTTTTTTTCTTGTATTTTGATATGAGAAATAAGCAAAGAATGTCTATAGAAAAATGATGCAGAAAAGAAAAATCAACATCGATTCAATTTTGAAAATCAATTTTCTATAGAGAACAAGCAATGGAAATAGGAAAAATGAAAAGAATATGATTTCAATAGAATTTCTTAGAAAAAACGGTTTTTCATGGATTTTTGTCACACGTTTCGTATCTGAAAATACAATTTTTTGCCAGAATAGCCTTTAATTTCTCCTGCCTCGAGATGAGATAATTCTATCATTTAGAATCTTAATTAATGTACTGTCGCATTATTCAGTGAGCTTACATAGGCAGTCAATTGTCAGGCATTTGGGCAAGGCTGAAGGGACAAGTGTAATTGCATCTTAATTAAGATGATTTATAACTCTGACACTTAGTCGATTGACACGGAATTGAGAATTATAATGGAATCAGGCAGAGGACATGCGTCGTGAGAATTTCGAGGATGAAGTGGCGAAATATCGAAATATCTCGCGATCTGACAGATTTAAGAGAAAATGGCAAAATATATTTTTTGTGTAGAACTTAATTCTTTCCACAAAAGATTTTTTGACATTTTCCGCTAAATCTAATACTTCCGCAGATATTTGTGAAGTAAGGTAATAGTGAACAACAAAAAAAATCTAATTTCATTCACAAGTTCTTGGGGAATATCTCGGAATCTAGAGGAGATGGACAAATTTTTGTAAAAAGCTTTATTGTAGGAAAAATCTAGAGCTGCATAAAAGGTCTTCACAAAAATTTCGCTTACTCTCTTCAATTCCAAGATATTTGATGATAATGAAACGATGTTTTTCGTTTTGCTACTGAATTCGTGATTTTTCATGTTATTTCCACTTCAACAGATTTTTTAATAGCAATACACTAATATTATATTTACTGGGGAATGCAAGACGTAATTATGGGAGACTCAGCTTTCTACTGGAATGAATCGATGGGAATGCAACGGAAATTATAAGGAACACGTTTTAGCTGCACAATAAAACTTATCGTATTCCCAAGAGCACTGGACGTTAAAGTCGTATTAATGCATTGCAGGACGGTTTTACTGTCGACATTTTTATTCAATGTCGATCGGAAAGTAAGAGAGAATTATAGAAAGTGGGTATTAAATATTTGTGGCATTATTCAGTAGAAAAATTGTAAATAGAAAGAGTCAATTTCAATTTAGAACAGATCAGTTTTGCCAAATACCTCAGAATCTACGGAAGATGGTAAAATTTTATTCCTCTGAAATTTCCCTATCTAATGCAGATTCAGAGATATTGGTAATAAACTGATCATTAAATGAAATCAATTCATTCTGATTAACATTTCCACTATTGAACTGTCGAATCAGTAAATATTTATTCTAAACTCTAATCCTAATAAATAGAAAATATTCTATAATTCGTTGGAGAAAAATGTTTTATCAAAATATACACCGATAATTAATTTTTTCTTCTCGATTGTCTTAATTTTTGTGCTTTTTGTCTCGGTGAAAAATAGATTATTTACATCACTCATGATATGTGCAATTTTAAGGCACTCGATAATAAACTTAAACTAGAAAATAAATTTCCAAAATTCTATATTGCAAATTCTTTTAGATTAAAAAAGATTAAAGACTAATTAAGTCTCCGGGATATATATTCAAAGGAATTATAGTACCACATGGATATCGTCTCGAGTTTAAGTCTCAACAGGAAGACCTAAGTACTTTTTTTCATTGAGGTGTTCTCATTAAGGCACGTGTGCGTATAAAAATAGAAGTAAATTTGTGCAAAAAATGTTATCAATGTCAGCTATCTGAACTTTAACTTATCACGATCGCCTTAGTTAATTAATCAATCGAGGAACGTCAACAGTACGTCGCATGGGGAATAAAGTCGAGGGGTATATGGTCTGGGGAGTACTCCCTGTCCGGAGAGGAAACAATGATTGAGAAATTACAAATTGGAGGGGAGTTTGGTCAATGTTGAAATGGTGGAATGTAATAAGTTGACGTTTCACATCTCCATGAATGGCTAATTATCCCGATAATAAAGGGTTTTAAGAGAAAATGTCAACAAATTTGGTTTTGGGGAAATTGCCTGATCTGAAGAAAATGTTTTTAAACATTTACTTTTACAATCATTCTATAAGAGAATCTGTATGAGAAAATTTACTGGGTTAGAAAAGTGGAGGGAAATCAATTGATAAATTAATTTTCCTCTGTGCTTCTTCACTATTTCACTTCTGGTGAAATAATGAATTGTCTCGATAACAAGTAATTTTCCAGAAGAAAGTTGCAAAAATTCTTATTGCAAAATTTCCTGATCTGCAAATTTTCCTGCGACATTGTCTGCTAAAACCACTCATTCCCCAGATAATTCACAATTAAAAAAATATAAATCCATGAATCCAATCGCTGCACGCACGAAAAAATTTAATAGAAAAACCTATCGAATTCGTTAAAAAATTCTATTGAATTTCTATTAAACTTTCTATTAGTTTTTGGCTGATTCTATTGACATGTTGAATAGAAAACATTCAATAGAAAAAGTCAACAGAATTCGATTTTTCTATATAACTTATTCTTTTCATATATTTTCTATAGAATTTGCTCGACTCGAATTTTCTGTTTTTTTCATTATATTTTTCTTTTCTTCTCATCAAGGAAATCAAACGAAAAAACTTCGAAAATTTGAGCCGAGGAAATTCTATAGAAAATATCTCAATAGAATAAGTTATATACAAAAATTGAATTCATTGACTTTTTCTACTGAATATTTTCTATTGAACATTTCAATAGAATCGGCCAAAAACTAATAGAACAGTTCAATAGAAATTCAATAGAATTTTCTAACGAATTCAATAGGTTTTTCTATTAAATTTTTTCGTCCGTGCGCAAGTCAATTTGACAATTTCCATCACTAAACTATCTTAATAATGAACTCAAGCTAAGTAATAATTTCTCCAAATTCTATATTGCCAATTTTCTTTTGACATTTTCGTCTGAAATTCATAGTTCCTAATCTATAAATTTTCTTGTGAAATTTTCTCTTAAAACCACTCATTCCCCAGATAATTCACACTAAAGAACTATAAATCCAAAAATACAATTTCCAGAAGTCAATTTCCCTCCCTCCATCACTGAATTATCTCAGTAATGAACTCAAGCTAGGGGATAAATCTTCAAAACTAAACATTAAAAATTGTCTCATGACATTTTCTCTTAAAACCAGATACTTCCCAATTAAAACCCCCACTCCATGAATCTAATCTCCCCATTCAGTAGCAGTAAAATGTAAAATGTTTACGTCGATTTAGCTCTTAGCTGAATTTTTAAAGAATATCTCCGAATCCAAAAGGGATAGCAAAATTTTCGTAATAGCTTTTTTTGTAACTTTCAATTCGCTCTACAAAAAAGGTTATGCCAAAAATTTTGCTACCTCCCTTAGATTCCCAGATATTTATTGAAAACAGGCCAATAGTCAAAATCGACTTGGACCGTTTTACCGCTTCGTAACTGAACTAATTTCCCCATCATCTCCATCATGGAACTATCTCAATAAAGACCTGTAGAAAATTCGACCCCCAAAAACCCTTGAACCCATAGCACTCCCTCTCCGCCCCCAATTCATTGCCCCCTAAATCTGTGGATAAAATTGAGCAGGATAAAGCCCAGGAACAGTGGGTCCAGCAGTGTGGAATGCAGCAGCAGCAGCAGCAGCAGCAGCAGATGTCTGCCAAGCAGGACGTTTAGGGACACTGCCAACAGCATCAGCAGGAAATGCATTATCCCAGGGTCTCTTGAGTCCCATGAGAGCAGCATGATTGATAGGAGGTGTTTGAATAATAGGTGGCAAGATAGTGGGATGTGGCTGGGGTGTGCGCATAATCGGTATTCTCTGTGGCACATTGAAAAATAGTAATGGTGGATGTGGCTGTTGCTGATGCAATGCAGCATGAGGTGACATTGTGTAAGTTGATATTTGATGCTGACCAGGTGGTGGTAATGCAAGTGCTTTACTCGTAGCAACACCACCAGCACCACCTGGTGATGATCCAGCATTGCTAGGCGAATTATTAGTCTGATTACTGGCAATAGCCATCAACCACAAATCCTGATTTCTCATTGCTTGAACCTGTGCCTGAGCCTGTGCTTGAGCCGCTTGTGCCTGAGCCTGTGCCTGTGCCTGGACTAATGCGTGTATGTCCCATAGTGGGGCCTGTTGGGTCTGTTGTACGGGTATTTGGGGGGGTTGGGCGGCTGGTGCCGCTGCTATTGCCGGGGGTGTGTGTGTGCTCAACGTACCGGATGAGAGTAGCGATTTAGCGGGCAGTGGTGCAGCACCAGTCAACACCAAGTGCATGTCGTCACCACTGCACTGGAATACCTCGATGTAACGCTGCTTCTTGCCGAATATCATGTAGCGGTGGTGACGCTGGGAGGCACATGCGAACGCTGAATTCTCACTGTCCATTTGGATGAAGGCTTCACCCGAGGGCTGACCCTGAAGGAGAAAATCAGAGGGTTATGGAAGTGGTAGTGAGGACTTGGTTTTCGTAAGTCGATTTTTTGGAGTTTCATGAATGGGGAATGCTCGCGCTAATGATAGGAAAACAAGTGGGAAATTGCTTTTATATTAATATAGGGGAGAGTGGGGCACAATGAAACAGTCAAAAAACGACTGCTTGACGCAATTCAAGCAACAAAATTTTTTATCACTAAATAGTTTTTTTTTAATTTTTGTTTATTAACTTTTTTTTATTCTTGGGAGTACTGATGAGAATAATTTTCCATTCAGTTGAGTGGAAATGGCATATTCGGACTTTTTGGATCATAATAGGTTGTTATAACGAAAAATCCGAAACTTGCTTCCGAATGGAAGCTTCGTAATCGCTCAAATTTAAGTTTTGGATTTTTTGGGTTATATCGACCCAGTATAATTCAAACAGATCGAAAATGCAATGTTTAGATCTCCGTACGTGTGTGTTTGTGCGTACGTATGTACCAAAGTTCTTCTTCACCTATTCGCTAATGAATGGATGGAATTGAATCTTTTTTTCAAATGTAGGTATTGTTGAGTCCTATCAATCTCCATTAATTAAAATTTAATTCATCGATTGGTTTTCTATTTTCGAATTTTTTTGAAAATCGATTGTCCCACGATAACTAGAAAAAATATTCGGGATTGATTGAATGACGGCTTAAAAAATTGGTTTGGATGTCCTTTTGACCGAGTTTAAAGATGAATGCGATAGTAATGATCGTTATTTTGATTTATTTGAAAATTTGCCAAAATTTTGTTTTTTTTTAAATCAGAATTCCGGGGATATCTTTGTTGAATATCGTGCTTCAAATGAATTCAATCATAGCTTAAAATGTTTGTTTTAATGCTATTAAGTCGAAGGTGAAAGATGATTACGATAGCAATATTGACTAATGTGATTTTTACGATCATTATTGAAAATTTCGAATTTTTATATTAACATTTTATCGAAGGGCTAAGGGGGGAGATCGAACCGTAAAAAAGACAATCGGTTGTATCGAAGAAAAGAATAATAAGAATAATGATGATGATATCATTCAACTCAGTTGAAAATCTGACAAAATTAGTTAAAATAGTTATTTTCATCACAAGGTCCACAAAATATTTTCTGACGAATGTGATTATAGGCCTCGCCTTCGGCTCGGCCTACAAAGCCACATTCGTCAGAAAATACTTTTGGACCGTGTGATGAATGCAATTTTTCGTCAGAAGACCCGTAAACCGCGATCAAACCGAGTGAAGCGAGGTTGGAATCCCGGTTTACCGGGTCTTCTCACGAAAAGAAATCTTATTCAATTTAATAAAATGAAATAAATAATGAATTATATATGATAAAAGGGAATTATGTGCAAAATAAACATTCAACAGTATATTGCTAACTTAGTAACAAAAATAACTATACTATATGCAATACAAGAGCAATTTCCTACTTGTTCTTCGGTAAAATAGTTTTTTACTTTTATAATCGAGCATCAGAGCTTTCATTCGAGCCCCATTTGACCCGAAGTTTCCGGCCATTTTACAGTGATTTTATTATTCAACCGTTCAGGTCTGAACATGGATCCTGATATTGAACCGTTAGAAATCGTTTTAAAAATATGAAAAAAATTAGAAAGTCTAATTTTGAAGGAAGATTGATGAAATAATTGAAAAATTGCAATTTTTCTGTAAACAATTTATAAGCAATCACGTTTCCATCATAAAAATCATTTGTTCGGAATCAAAACAAATTTACCCCATTGATTCATACCCAGAATTTTACCGGAAATCTATTTTATGCCTAAAAAAGGTTTCCGACAATTTAAACAATTTCAATGATTTATTTACAAACAATAAATATTTGAAAAGTGGCTGTAGCGGCCACGCGGGAGTGTGTGGCTCCGGCGGTCATCCAAGCTAAGCAGCGTTCAGTCTGCCCAGCACTTGGATGGGTGTCCGCTTAGGCACACCTAACCGCGTGGGACTACAGTCGCTAGGCACGAATGTAGAGAGCCACTGTGCCCATTGACTCAGTGTGACCAATAGACACAGTGGAATCCCTGCATTATCGGCCGGCTGCACGACTGAGGTTTTCATGGTTTCCCTGACAGTCCAATCCCGAATGGGGTGCAGTTGGGGATAAAAAAAGTCGGCCCATGGTAACGCAGATAGGGAAGGGAACAAAATGTAAAAACCCGAGAGGGTATACATATGGAACCAAAAAAAAATGTTTGAAAAAATAATAATTCTGTGCAAAATCTAATGTAAATGACGCTGAATATTGATGATTTTTTTCAAATTTTTCTCACGCAATTTAATTGACATCTTTTATGACCGAAAATGGCTGAATTTATAGTGCAGTCTGTGTCAAACTGTGAAAGACACTTGAATATCTTTAATTCCTTATTTTTAGTCATTACTAATAAATAACATACCTGCGCATTATAAACCATATGAACTCCACGATAAACAATATGTTTAGCGTATTCACCCATGAACTCAAGGATATGCTCAACGAGCGCCTCATAAGGTAGTCCACGTAATCTAACACAGTCTTTTCTCGTTCCCGACGTGATGACATACTGCGGAAGCAGTTGCGGTGGCAGCGGCAGCATCGGTGGAATATCAGGCTGTGGTTTAGCATCAATTGCTCTATTCAATACCTAGGATCATTACATCGGAGCATTAGTTAATTGGATGAATTGAATCAAATTGGGATAAATGGAAATTGTAATGAGCACACACACCTGTTGCACTTCTGCCGTTGTACTACGGAATAGTTCAATGTATCTGACGCCAATGCAGTCACGATGCTTGCTTAGAGCTTTCTCAGCATCTTCCTCTTTAGCGAACAAAACGAATGCATCTCCCGTTGCTCGGCCATCCGGCTTTTTCACGAATAATACACCTTCCTCACCGTCCAACACCTGACAGGGATTTTGACCGCCAGCAAAGAATTCAATCTGCGCAGGAAAACGAGAAACTTTTGAAAATCCTTCGCTGACATTTCGGATACACTTTTTGGAAATGATTATCACGCTGAGTTTCAATGAAGTGTCAAAGAATTTCGACAATGAAAGTTCACAATTTGATGAGCAAACCAATGAAAACTGCAGACTTTAGCCCAATTATCTTGAATGTAATAAATCTGTTGCTCATTCTTTGGCCACGGTTCACGCAAAAACGACTGAATGGATTTCAATGGTATTTGTAGTATTGCATAGTTTAGGGTCCCCAATGGGCTTTACACTGTTAGAAATTTGTTGAAATTTCACGGAAAATATGATAGTAATTCTCATGAGTGACATTCAATCGAATTCAGGGTAAAAATTCTCATGAAATTTCAACTTTTAGGTAGAATTCAAGGAAATTCATGGGTTCTTAGAGGGAGTGAGGTGGAAATTTTACAACTCGGTTGAATTTTCAATGAAACATGAATATTCAGAAACAAAATGACAGGAATTTTCAATTTTTCTCTGAATTTTCCTGATTTTTCTGACTTTTCACGGAATAATTTAACTGAAAAATCAAGGATTTTATTGGTTTTCAGATCATTCGAACAGAAAATCAATGGAATATTTGATTTTTCAATGACAATATTTCCTCAAATTTCAGTGGGAATTGACCACGATAAAGATTTCCAGGATTTGGCACGGAAAATTCAGACGAAAATTTTTAACAGTATAGGCTATAAGTTATTGTGTGTATATTAAACTATGCACCGTAGAAACTTCTAGAAAATTCTAAAAAAAATCTTCTAAAAAAATTTCTAGAGCTTTCTAGAAAATTCTGGCACTTTCTGCAAAATCCTGGAATATTCTTGAGTTTTTCAGAAGATTTTTTAGTTTTCTACAAAGTGTGAGGATATTCTCGGGTTTTATCGAAAGTTCGAGAAATCCCTTTGGTTTTACAGAAAATTATTGGGTTTGCTGAACAATTCGAAAAAAATCTCCAGTTTCGAAAAAAATAAAAAAAAAATTTCGTTTTTCAGAAAATTTGAGAAAATTCTTTGGTTTTACCAACATTGCCCCAACGTTGGCAGGCAGCATTATCCCAATGTTAAAATTTTTTACCTTTTCACCTAAAAATAGTAAATTGAATATACTATATTCGAACTCCTGAGGCCAAAATTAGTTATTCTTACAAAAAAAAAATTGGAAATATTGGATTTGACGAATGCATGCTCCATTCGAAAGCACTACACCCAAAACATGAATTTGAATGGTTACAAAGCTTTTATTTGAGAGCTAAAATGACTCCATTCGGAAGAAAAGTATATGAATGAACTCACAACTTGTTTAGCAACGCAGTCGTAGGGTAGTCCCCGCATTCTCACGATGACTTGAGCCCCTCTGGATAGAAATGCATGGGCCTCGCCACTTGCACCACCAGCAACTCTGACAAACTCCTCACCCGATGATTTGTACACTTCGATGTACCTCGAGCCAATATGATGCTTATGCCTCTTTAACGCCATGTCTCTGTGCTCTTTACTCACAAAACGTACAAGTGCCTCGCCGTTACGTCTGCCCATAGGGCTCAAACACAACGCAACTCCACCCCTGTTGATTCGTACAGAAGATTAATTAGAAAATGGTTAATTGATGGGCTGGGAGTGAAGTGGCAAATCGAAATGGGTCAGTTCAATCGTAGAAGGGGTAGAATTTAGAATGAACATCTGTGAATTGAGCGGGGATGAACAAATTTTCATGAAGAATTTTTTTTTTCTTGTGTGTATTATTCTTTTGCTTGTAGTGAAGATCCAGAGATTTGAGAATAGTCCAGGGATAGCAATATTCATAAATCATAATTGCCGTTAAATTTTGAAGCCGTCATTCGGTTAAGGGGAGACTACTATGAGTTTTAAAAGTCGTGGGTTATTAGAGTGAGACTTTTCATACGTTGAAGATCGATTCAATAGATCTGAAAACAAATAATTAGTGCAAAAAAAATTTGTTTTATTGTTCGTTTGCCCGAAAACGCTTAAAATGCTAAAAACAGTCCACGGTCTCCAATTTTTGAGCTACAAAAGATTTTTTTTTTCAAAATTTTCGGAAAAATGTGTGGAACAACAATCACGAGCCAGTTTTTTGGAATTCGACTTCTACACAGCTGATTTCTTTTTTTTTTTTCATATAAAAAAATTCACTATTTGTGTAAAAAAATACAAAAAAAGCAAATTTAGCCATGTAAGAGGCTAATTTAAAAAAAATGGCTCGTACTTGTAATACCACATATTTTTCCGAAAATTTTGAAAAAAAAAAATCTTTTGTAGCTCAAAAATTGGAGGCCGTGGACTGTTTTTAGCATTTTAAGCGTTTTCGGGCAAACGAACAATAAAACAAATTTTTTTTGCACTAATTATTGGTTTTCAGATCTACATAATCGATCTTCAATGTATGAAAAGTCTCACTCCAATAACCCACGACTTTTAAAACTCATAGTAGTCTCCCCTTAATATCATTCAAATTTTTAATTACACGTATGAAAAAATTCAATAGAAAACTTTAGCGAATTCGCTAGAAAATTCTACTGGAATTCTCTAAAAATTCTGAGGGGATTCTAGTAACATTCTAGAGCATTCTCGTTAAAATTAAATTTTTTTTTGCGCAGATTCTATTAGATATTTGATAGGAAAAGGTCAATAGATTTCGATTTTTCTGTTTGAATTTTTTTCTTGAGATTTTTTCTATTAAAGCTACTGGGCAGGGATTTTCTAAGTTTTTTCCAATATATTTTGTTTAGTTTTGCATTGCAGGATCCGAGTGAAAAAAACTTGGAAAATTTATGCCCAAGTATTCTGATAGAAAAAATTCCAAGAGAATATTCATATAGAAAAATTTAAATCTATTAACTTTTTCCTATTGAATATCTCAGAATCAGCGCAAAAAACAGATAGAATTTTAAACGAGAATTCCCTAGAATTTTAATAGAATTCCAATAGAATTTTCTAGCGAATTTGCTAAGGTTTTCTGTTGAATTTTTTCATGCGTGTTAAATAACAATTAATTTGAATATTTAAATTTTGAATTATTTTATTAATGAATAATTTGGGTAGGAAGATTGCCGATTATTCGCTCAATTGATAATGCCTTTTAAGAAATTATAAATATTTACTTAATGAAAAATTTACAGTTCCATAGCATCGAAGATTTAATTCATCATTAATCCGAAATTTAAATTATCAATATTATACTATTTTTTAATTTTGATGAGTATATTTAAACTTTTGTTAATGTAAGTCGGAAATCCTTTCAATATTGACGAAATTTAATATTGATGGCCATCCCTGGAATAGTCTTCATGATTTTCATGGTTTTCAAGATGATTTTTTTATGTTTGATCATTTGCTACGATAATTATAATCGTTTTACATCAGTTTCAGAATTGTTTTGGAGTCTTTATAGATTTTATTGTTTTTTTACGGTTGAACTGACCTTTCACATGGCGAAAACTTTTCTAGAAAAATTCATGTGCTAAATTCAAGCATCATAAACGAGTCATAATTCGCACACTTGGAAAAATTATTGTGTAGCTCCAGAAAAATTATGGTACCCCCAATAATTTTTCTGTCGCTGAACGATAATTGTTCTCGTGCTACACAATAATTTATGAAGTGTGCAAGTTGTGACTTGTTTATGGTGCTAGCACATGAATTTTTCTAGAAAATTTTTCTCAGTGCATTCAGCATTGGATTCTGATTTTATTAGGTGTTATAAATTTTCAAGATATTATTTTAAAATTTATGTTGGATTTTTAAAATGAATATTTTTAAATCATGGAGTTATGGATGAATTTTCTTGAGGTTTTTTTTCTGCTTCGTTCTGAAGTAGTAATGACTCATTATGAATTCAATGTTTTCTGTCCTACACGAAGATGAATATCGTTGGAACCATGGAGATTAGATAGGCAAACTTTGACGAGAAAAATTTTTATTGAGAAAAAAGAAAACTAAAAAAACGTCTGGATAATTTACGGTTTAAGGCCCGGGTGTACTATCTTTCGAACGTTATCTTGATGTTTTTTTCTCATCTTTCGTCAACTGAAATTGTCAATTAAGTCCTGCATCATGCAGAAGTTTTGAAAAATTATGAATGAATAATAAAAAAAAGTAGAAAAAATTCGTAATTTTTTCAATGAACATTTCTAATTTATATTCAGAATAAGTTGAATAACAAGAAATTGAAAAATGTATCTGATTTACGGTGACAAATGGCGGCCTGTCACCCAATATCATGCAGGGGGAAGACTGATTTCGTAAATCTTTTCCCACACTGCACAGAGACATTTATTATACGGAAAAGGCTCTTTGAAAAAAAGTTGAAATATTTTGGAGAATTTTTTAATCACACTTAAATGAAGATTAAAATACCTAGCTGTCACTTGCCATGAGGAGCTAGTGTTTTGTTATCCACCAGGGAAAATGACAGCTAATAGATAATTTGCTACAGTGAATCAGATATTTGTAATCTCCACTTTTTTCAACTCATTCTGAATCTCAATTAAAAACGCTCTTTGAAAAAGTTCAGAATTTTTTCTATTTTTTTTATCATTCTATCATAATTTTTGGGAATTTCTACATGATGTACCACTCAATTGACAATTTTGGATTACGAAAGATAAAAAAAATCTAAATAACATTCGAAAGATAGTACACCCGGGCCTTAATGAGAAAATTCATGGAAACTGTGAATTTCAGATCAATTATTCTTTGAAAATTCATAGAAATCTCGAAAATTCAGGTAATTGTATTCTTAAATTGCGAATTAAATATAAATTCAATATAATTCGAAAATATTCAGATTTCGATTGAAAATTTCTCACAATTTTCCAGATATTTTCCAAATTCCAGATATTTTCAATTCACAAAACAGATCTAGAAAGGAATAAAACTCACTACGCCTCCATTGAATTATTCGCGATTAATTATTGCGAACAAAGTCTAAAAATTTTTTATTCATACCTCTGCCACAAGGATATCCAAGTATCTTTAAGAGTTTGATAGACTAGTCCGACCATTATTGTTTTTTTAAATTCAAGTAGTGAATGGAAAAAAATAGTTTCAGTCGTTCTATCATATGAATTATTGACGTTTGAGTGGACTTGTTAACTTGAATTACGTTTATCTATTAAGAATATCCAAATATCTTTCACAATTTTTGTAGAGACTACATTATAGATTCAACCATTTTCAATCATCAAATTTGTCAATTAAATTGCGTGAGAAAAATTTGAAAAAAATTATGAATATTTAGTGTCATTTTGCACAAAATTGTTACTTTTTTAAACATTCGTTGTTCATAAGTACATAAATTATTTAAACTTTCGGAAATCTTATTTTTTTATACATATAATCGATTACTGGTGAAAATATGAATATGAATAAACTTGTTACGCTTTCGAACAAATGATTTTTATGGTGGAAAATTGATTGTTTATAAATTATTTATAGAAAATGTTAAATTATTACAATTACAATCATTATGCCATTATGTTAACAATGTGCAATTGTTAAATTATTTCATCAGTCTTCCTCCAAAAGTAAACTTTCTAATTTTTTTTCATATTTTTAAAATGTTTTTTAACAGTTCAATATCGAGATTCAAATTCAGACCTGCAAAGCTTAAACAATAAAATCATTATAAAATATCCGGAAACTTAGGGGCAAATCGGGCTCAAATAAAAGCTCTGATGTCCGACTAGAAAAGTAGAAAAACATTTTGCTGGCGAAAAAATAGCCAAAGTACTTGGATATCCTTAAACTAAATTTATGTAAATGAGTTCTCGACTTGAAGAATGTGATGACATTTTCGTTTCAAGTTAACCCAGTGACGAAGTGACTAGAATGATCCATGACCCTTGATAACGCTTATCTGAGTCTCACTGATCACCTAAAGAATTCCCACGTCAGTCTGTCTATCATTGCTATTTCCATTGTGTAATCGTTAATGTTTATAAACATCTGTTGGTCTCGTGTTGAATAGAATTTTATAGTCAAAGGTAATGATTTATGATGTATGAAACTTGCACATTTACTGGAACAACCATGAATAAGCTCAATTACCTTTGTCAATCCGTGAGAGCTTGTGTATCAAGTATTTACCAATTATTAACGAGTTACGCATTGTTGAGATGCAAGTGAATATTAACGACAGTCGTTTGGCGATAATGAGCAAATAATTAGCGATAATGTGGAATAAAACTCACTTGGCAACATTCAGTCCTCTGAAAAACTTGGCAATGTCCTGATCTGAGGATTGCCAAGGTAATCCACGTGCTCTCACTACACAATTATTGTCTACTTCTTCATCCTTGGAACTGTAACAGTAATAATAACAGGCATATAAATCCTTTATGATACATTTGCTATTCACAGTTACAGTTGAAATTCACTAGTTTTCGATTCTGTAGCGAAGTGGTAAATTACCATAAGTGCAAAAGTGGGACTTTTTCAGGAGGGTTAAAAAATTCGACTACATTTGAGAGAACTTTTGATTCAAGCAATTGAAAATTTTTCAAATAAATTAATTATAAAACCGACGCCGGTGGCCGAATGGGCTAGATGCAAGTTTAGTGTGCGAAAGGTTGTGAGTTCGATTCCCCGTGGAGCCGAATTTATCAACGGAAGACTCCGGCGAGCGGGAGGTTGCTAATAGAGTAACCGCCTGTACCGGCTTGGGTTTCCTGTGGTTTCCCATGCTACTCCTATGTTCTATAGGAGTGCGAATGCGGTACAGTGTAGAATCCACAGCCGCATGCGTAAGGTTGGATAGAGGGCCGAAATGAGACTTGAAAAGAGAACTCAAAAGGCCGTAAAAAATTGCCCTTATTATAGTTTACCACTTCACCACAGAATTGAAATTATTCACTACAGAATTGAAATTATTCAATTGAAAATGAAATAGTTATTACTCATTTATAACCAATTATGTAATCAAACTCCATGAAAATCGGTAATAATCATGCGAATTTTCATTTTTACGTCTGAATGAAATTTGATTCTTCAAAAAATTGACTAGTTTTCAATTGAAATTTCACGGAAAAATTGTTTAAATATCATAATAGTAACTTATACTATCAACTATTTCGTAATGAATTTTATAAAATAGTTAATACTCATTCCTAACTGATTATCTAATCAACCAATCACTGATTTAAAAAATGCCAAAAATTTATCACTCGTGTTTTTCGAAAAATCACATTTTTTTCATGTAAAAAATGTCCAATTCTACTTCACTAGAATTGATAAAAAAGACCAGTTGCATGCAATATAACTGGAAAACATCGATGAAATCAATATGAGTTATTCATTATGAACTTGTTCAGTTCCAAATGAATATCTTTGAATCCAAATAAAATAGAGAGATTTTGATAACGACATTTTTTCAACGGTCAGAGCCACAAAAAAGGGACTTATGAGGGTTTTTTAATCTCTTTTTCTTCTCGAGATATTGCCTAAGAACTAATATTCAAATGAAATTCACTTCAAATTGAAGGCGAGTAGACTTCTGAGTATCGAAAAATCGCGAAAGTTTCAATGAAGACTTTAATTTTGAAATTCATTGGAAAGAATTACACATAAAAATTAATAATAGTCACCTGAATTTTCATCATTACGTTTAAATCAAATTTGATTCTTCAAGAAATTGACTAGTTTTCAATTGAAATTTTACGGGAAAATTGTTCGAATATCAATAGTAACGAGTATGCTATCAACGATTTCGTAATGAATATTAAAAAATAGCTGTTTATAATCAATTATCTAATCAACTAATCATTGATTTGGCTAATTATTTATCACTTGCAAGTATTTTTAAAAAATGAAATGTTTTTCATGTAAAAAATGTCCAATTCTACTTTACTAGAATTGATAAAAAAAAGACCAGTTGCATGCAATATAACTGGAAAATATCGATGAAATCAATATGAGTTATTCATTATTAACTTGTTCAGTTCCAAATGAATCTCTTTAAATCCAAATAAAATAGAGAAATTTTGATACGGACATTTTTTCAACGGTCAGAGCCACAGTAAAGGGTCTTATGAGGGTTTTTTAATCTCTTTTTCTTCTCGAGATATTCCGGAAGAACTGAGATTCAAATTATATTCACTTCTCACAATTTTCATCTATTTTCAAAGTACTTCATTTTCAATTAAGTTCAAACCATTTTTTCATGAATGGTTGATAATTCGTCATAATGAAGAACTGATAATTCATCAATATTAATTTATGAATTTAGGGGTGAGTGGGGCAAAATGAAACGGTCAAAAAACGACTGTTGGACGCAATTCAGGTAAATTTTTTTTTTATATTTGTTTGTCATCTTTTTTTATTTGTAAGAATACTGAGGAGAATAATAATACCCATCCATTGTACTGAATGGAAAATTATTATTCTCCTCAGTACTCCCAAGAATGAAAAAAAGTTAATAAAAAAAACATTTAAGGATATCCAAGTAGTTCAGGCAATTTTTTCTGGGGGAAATCCCCTTCAGAGTTTGTAGATCAGACCAAGAGTATTTTTTAGGCGCAGTATAAACTTTAGTTTCCGAACATATTTTCGAGAAAACGATTTTTGAAAGAATGAAATTTAACACATTGCGTCCATAAGAGCTGTATACTGCCACCTTCAATCCAATAGTTCATAGTCTTAAAGCGTTTTCTCGTACACATAACCGTATATGACTTTGTTCGTTATACTCTCTAGTTTTTTTTGCGACATTAAAAAACATAAGTTTCCGCACAGATAATTGCAAGCAATCAAATTAAAGGCTTCTTGATTGGTACGACGGCCATATTGGGTGGTTTGAATCCGTGCGTTCCTGACGTCTGGCAACAGTCCGCTCAAGTGACTACTCGGACCGAATTTACGAGGTTATATGGAACACATGTGCAGTGTTGCCGTATGATCATTAGAAGTTAGACCAATGAGAGTCAAGTGTGAAATTGAATAAAATATTGTTCACAATATTCATTGAAGAAATTCCTGAAAAAATGTATTCGACAATGAAAAATCCGAAAAAGTATGGGGACGGCAAGATTTTCGACAAAACTGAAAACTTGCTTGAAAAAAAGTTGCCAATTTGAACGAAGTACTTGGATATCCTTAAGGTCCGGGTGTACTATCTTTCGAATTTATCTGGATTTTTTTCATCTTTCGTAATCCAAAATTGTCAATTGAGTGGTATATCATGTAGAAATTCCCAAAAATTATGATAGAATGATAAAAAAAATAGAAAAATTCTGAACTTTTCAAAGAGCGTTTATAATTGCGATTCAGAGTGAGTTGAAAAAAGTGGAAATTGCAAGTATCTGATTGGCTGTGGCAAATTATCTATTAGCTGTCATTTTCCATGGTGGATAACAAAACACTAACTCCTCATGGGAGTGACAGCTAGGTATCTCAATTTTCAAAACATTAGTATGTAGTCATCTGCCATTTTTATGTGATAAAAGTGTGATTAAAAAATTCTCCAAAATATTACAACTTTTTTCAAAAAGCCTTTTCCGTAATAAATGTCTCTGTGCAGTGTGGGAAAAGATTTACGAAATCATCTTCCCCCTGCTTGATATTGGGTAACAGGTCACCCAAATCGCCATTGGTCACCCTAAATCAAATACATTTTTCAATTTCTTGTAATTCAACTTATTCTGTATATAAATTAAAAATGCTCTTTGAGAAAATTAAGAATTTCTTCTACTTTTTTTTTGATTATTCATTCATAATTTTTCAAAACTTCTGCATGCTACAGGACTTAATTGACAATTTCAGATGACGAAAGATGAAAAAAAAACATCGAGATAACGTTCGAAAGATAGTACACCCGGGCCTTAATAAAAAAAATTTTATGATTGAATTGCGTCCAACAGTTGTTTTTTCACTGTTTCATTTTGTCCCACTCTCCCCTATAATTCATAAATATTAATTAAGAAGTTCAAGTTATACAATAATATTACTATAAAAATAAAACTGCAAAAGAAAAAGGGCAAATGGTTTATTAATTCAACAGAGATGTTTTCAATGAAAGGGTGATCTTGATCTCATTTATTTATCAACTGACTTACTATTTCGCTACGCTTAAAAATAGTTGATAAGTGAATTGACAAACAGTGAATAATAAAACGCCTCAACGTGCAGATAAAAATAATAAAAGGGAGATATATTAGTAAAAAGTGAATTTTCTAACAATAAATGTCATTGCACTGCAAGAAATGTCCTCAATTAATATAAAATGAAATTCTTCAACTCACCATATACCGGGCTCCAAAATAAGATTTATAACTTCGGGATTCTGGAATACGTGGCCTGAAATAAAAATGACTTTTTAATGATAACTAATTACCCATTAAAAGAAAATGTAAATTTGGAACTAGCTTTGGGAACAATCTGACCGTTTCATACGTGACTGGTTTGTCAACGTTTTCGTGTAACTGTACACCCCCCATCCTGTCTCTCATTTCTCAAACATTCTTTCATTATTTCCCCTCCTGGGATTTCGATTATGAAGAGCTCAGCAGGAATACTTATTTTGGTTTTAGCTGATTCAGGGGGATCACTCTCGATTCCGGCTCATAATGCTTCGTATTTAAATTTTGTTTCAAGCAGGGACCTTTATTTATCGTGCCGATGAGTTTCCGACTTCAGTTTTAAGGAAATCGAAATACTTTGGCTATTTTTTCTCGAGGGAAATGATTTTCTACTTTTATAGTCCAACATCAGAGCCCATTTTTCATGTTTTAGTATTCAATATCAATTAACATCATTTCGATAATTTGATTATTTTAGAAGGAATTGTCAACAGATTTTTTTTTTTCGTAGGAAAAAGAAATTTCTAACATTAAGGCCCGGTTGCGCCAAGCCCTGATATCCAAATAAACCCCAGGGTAAAATTTATCCTCAGGGTCATAATTTTTCAATATTTGACCCGAAGAATAATTTTTTATCTATCCTGTTGCCCCATTTGAATTAACACTGATTTAACCTTGGGATTAAATTTTATTTTTTGTTCCTCGGATAAATTTGAGATACTCTCCCGGGTAAAATAATCCATCGAACATCCAAATTTACTTTTTTTCTTATCTGACGTTTTCGTTAACCGGAGCTAGTGCAACCGGGCCTTAAAAAGTTGTCTAACATTTTATTTCTAAATATTTGAAAACAAGAGATTTTACTCTGGGAATTATTCATGCAATTGATTTAAAGTAGCTTTACCCTTCGGCCGGACTACGTTGAACTTTTGGATATTTTCAGTTTTTAAATTTTTCAACTAAATTGCATGGAAAAAAATTGAAAAAATTCATACCCTGTCAGTATTATCTAAATTAAATTTCGCAAAATATTGATATTTTTTTAAACACTTTCCTCTTATAAATAAATAATAAAACTTGTTTGCGAAACGGTGGATTATTTTTTATGAGGTGTCAAAAAAATTCTTGATTTTTACACCTCTAATGAAAAAAAAATCAGATTTTAATCTTTGATTACAATGGAAATGTTGATTTTCCCCTAAGACACTGGGTTAAATCCTGATTTTTAAACATTTCTTCTTTGAAAAAGCAAAACGATAATTAAATTGAGAAGAAAATTAGAATTTCGAATCTAATCGAGTTTTCTGCAATTTTTTTGCAGTTTTCAATAATCTTTGAATTTACCGTAAAGGTAGAGCTACTTTAACCCTAGTCTGATCACCTGACGGTAAAATGTGACTTTAGTCACCTTCGCGGGAGAGTGCCGCCGTGTTATTTAGGCTCCAGCGCTGCCGAATCCACTCTACACTTCCCGGGCGCGTTTAGCGAGTTCCCAGCAACGTCGCGCAACAGGCAATTTCATTAAACACGGGATAAAATTGTTCACCTGTTGGAAATAATTTTTTTTCTCCCAGAATTAAGGATATAATATTGAAAAAAAAAATACTAGAATTTTCCAGATACTTCAATTGACGAATTCAATTTTTCTCAAATTTTTCCGGTCAACCAGTCGATGGCAAGGTGAATAAAACGGCGTGTTGTGGCAATTCCCTCGCATGGTGACCAGTCTAGGGTTAAGGCCAGAGTGGATTATCTTTCGAATGTTATCTTGATTATTTTTCTATTTTCATCATGTAAAATATATCACAATTTCCATTGGATTTTACATCACGCAGGAGTCCCTAAAAATTATGATTGTACAATCAAAAAAAGGTACAAAAAAACTGAACATTTTCAAAGAGCGTTTTTAAAAAAGATTAAGAAATAAGTCCGATGGAGGGGAAATAGTGAGTGGATAATTTACCATGGTAACAAACGATCTGACAGCCATTACATACATCAAATTATTAATTTGCAATTTCCTCTCTATTGAGTTTATGTCCCAATATTATTCAAAAACGCTCTTTGAAAATGTTCAGCTTTTTCTCAACGTTTGTTTGATTGAACAATGAACAATCATGATTTTTGGAGACTCCACGGCTATGTAAAACTGAATAGCAATTGGAGATCATTTCAGATTTTCA